ACTTGGAGGTGCTTGTAAGACATCAATGTGGAGATATTTGGAAGCAGATGGAAATACTGATTTGAGACCCAAGAGAGGAAACTGACTGGAGATACAAACTTGAGAGGGTTATGGGCTCAGAGGACATCCATGGAATAAAGAAAACACCCCAGCCTGAGCTTCAGCAAACATCACCAAGAAATAAGCCCAACTGATGAGCCTGTGAAGGAGAAGATGAAGAGCCAGGAAGGCAGCAGGACAACTGCGGAAGAATAGCAGTCAGTAGGAGTATTTCAGAAGACAGCGCTACCACCTTAAATACACCTATTAAATGGAAGTCTTTTTTTTTTTTAATACAAGAAAAATCAGAATATTTATATGTTGAGGAGAACTTACATTAGAGAGATACTTTTAAGATATTCACAAAACAGGGAATGACTGATGATCAGGGTACTAAAGATAGGGAGAAAAAAGTGAGATCCAGAATTTAGGTAGATGTATTTATCCGTGGCCTGACAAAATACTGAAGAATATGCATGACTTCAAGTATTTTTAAATTGCATTTATCTATGCTCTGTGAATCTATTATGTTATTTATAGTTCATCTAGGCTTCTTATGGAGTACTGGGATAGTAACCACAAGGTTGGCAGTATAAATCCATCAGTCTCTCCTTGTAAACTCTATACAGCATCACTATGAGCTGGAACCAACTCCATGGTACTTATTAACAACAGACCTCTTATGGTCTCTTTTCCATCTATAAACTGTCCAGTTACTATTTCAATGACTGTAAGCATTTAAATAAAATAATGAACAGTTTATAATCCATAATTGTAATGACCACATTGTAATCATGCACAATATAAATTGATAGATATGCAACTAAAATATGTGTACTGCTTCTTTTTAAACACCTATGACAAGGTTTATAGAAAATGGATTTAAATCTAATTGTTAAAATAACACTGATTATAGGTTTCTAAGACAGTTAACACATATGCTAGAGAATGCAAGAAGTATAAACACAGTCTCTTTTGACATCCATTTTAGACATTTCCTTCTTTCTTGTCTCCTTGTTGTTGTTGTTGTTGTTGTTAGGTGCCATCGAGTCGGAACCGACCCATAGCAACCCCATGCACAGCAGAACGAAACAATGTCCCATCCTGGGCCAACCTCACTACCGCTGCCACACTTGAGTCCATCAATGATGCCACCTGGCCAATCCATCTCGTTAGAGGTCTTCCTCTTTTTCTCTGACCCTCCACCTTACCCAGCATGACATCCTTCTCCAACGATTGTTTCCTCCGGACAATATGTCCAAAGTATGAGAGACGAAGCTTAGCCATCCTGGCCTCCAAGGAGCACTCTGGCTGCACTTCTTCCAAAACAGATCTATTGGTTCTTTTGGCAGTCCATGGCACTTTCAGTATTCTCCTCCAACACCACAACTCAAAGGCATCAATTCTCTACAATCTTCCTTATTCACTGTCCAGCTTTCGCATCCATATGAGACTACTGAAAACATCATGGCCTGGGTCAGGCGCACCTTAGTCCTCAAGCTGACATCTCTGTTCTTCAATACTTTAAAAAGTTCCTGTGCAGCAGATTTGCCCAGTGCAATACGTCGTCTGATCTCTTGACTGCTGTTGATAGTTGATCCAAGAAGAATGAAGTCCTTGACAACTTCAATCTTTTCTCCATTGATAAGAATGTTGTTTATTGGTCCAGTGGTGAGGATTTTTGTTTTCTTGACATTGAGATGTAATCCATATCAAATACTGTGCTCTTTAATCTTCATAAGTAAATGTTTCAAGTCCTCTTCACTTTCAGAAGTTGGTAGAATTCTTCAATTTTAGCATCACTGTTTTAGTGATTAGTGTGTAAATTTGAATAACAGTGGCATTAACTTGTCATCCTTGTAGGTGTATGGATATTATCGTATCGCTGACTGCATTATACTTTCAAATCTTGAAATGTTCTTTTTGATAATGAATGTGATGCCATTTCTCTTGACTTTGTCATTCCCAATGTAGTAAATCATAAGTTTGTCAGATTCAAAATGACCAATACCACTACATTTCAGTTCACTAATGCCTAGGATATTGATCTTTATGAGTTTTATTTCATGTTGACAATTTCCAATTTTCCTAGATTCATACTTCCATGTTCTAATGATTTATTAATGGGTTTTTGCATCTATTGCTCCTCATTCTGAATTGTGCCCAATAAGCAAAGTTTTACCCTATTTGTGTTATCATGGTCAACGCTACTTGGAGGAGGCAGCTCTTTCCCATTCATATTTTGAGTGTCTTCCAACCAGAAGATCACATCTTCCAAAACTATATCTGACAACATTCTGGTGTTATTTGACGTGTTCCACTGCTCTTGAACGGTTAAACATTCCATAATAGTCTGCTTCTCCTTCTTCCTAGTCTGTCATAGTCTGGAAGCTCACCTGAAATCTATCTACCATGGTTGTACCTTGCTGATATTTAAAATATCTGCAACATAGCATCCAGTATCACAACATACAAGCCACCACAGTATAACAAACTGGTGGTTGAATGGTGGATGTTTGTGTATAGGGATGATGAATGTTCAAAATTTTTATACAGATTGGGTTATACCATAAAAAATATCAGATCCTAGTGACCTAAATTATTCATGCCCTTAGATGATCATGGCATCAAAACAGAATGCTCCTGCCCTAAGATGGTGATAACAAATAACAAGCCTTTACTGTGGTCATCTTAACATTAAGAGAGAAGCTGCTCCTTAAGTATGCAATTATCTGGGACAGAAGGAGGAAATAAACACACAAGATATTTATACAAATACATGTTTAAATCACCTCTGCTTGCATGCATTGAGCTGTCCTTAACCAACTGGTTCAAGTTTCTCTACCTCATTTCATGCCTTGCAGCAACACATTCCATTGAAGTGTTTCTCACTGCTCTTTTAAAGAACAAGCCTCAACATTTCAAAGACCAAAAATGATGTTATGTTTTCAAGGTTTCTTTTAGTACTGGGTAATTAAAGAGAGATGAAAAGCATAGATGTAGATTTCTAATTGCTCCTGGGAAAGTTGTCATTTCCAGGGACTGTTTCTCAGTATTCAATCTGATTGCATCGGAAACTTATAGGTGGAGTTAGAGCCCCCCTCCCCCAAATACTCCTATTTGTACTTGTTGTTGTTGTTGTTGTCAGGTGCCATAGAGTTGGAACCTACTCATAGCGACCCCATGCCCAACAGAATGAAACAATGTCCAATCTTGGGCCAACCTCACCACTGCTACCACACTTGAGTCCATCAATGATGCCACCTGGCCAACTGGTTCAGTTGGCCATCTCCTTGGGGGTCTTCCTCTTTTTATCTGACCCTCCACCCTACCCAGCATGACATCTTTCTCCAGCGACTGTTCCCTCCGGACAATATGTCCAAAGTATGAGAGACTTCTAGTGTTTAGGAAAAGACTGCATTGGGTTCCATCAAAGAGATTCTCTTCATCCTTTTCTGAAACCCTCTCAACACACTGCCTATCAGTACAACTGAGTATACAGAAATTAGCATTTGGATACCTATATATAACGTCAAATTTGACTTTGAGGTCTATATCTTCTGAGTGAGAGTCTTTAGATCACAACCCCTGGAACACTGGTAACCTGTCACCTTATTTTTTCTGGCTCTTTGGATTTAATTCCTTCCCATACTTCCTTTGAGTCAGTTCTCCCATTCCCTATCATCTGCACACGACTCATCAAAGAAGCCTAGCTAAGCAACCAAAACATAGTGCATGAGCAGAGAGAAAACAAAAGTGTGAGAGAATAATGAAGATGCTAAATTCAAGAATAAGTAAATAAAAATATTAATACAAATGTTGCCAAAATATCCAAAAGATTTATGCAGGTATATTTACATAGAAACTTCCAATCATACACATTTGGAATGTGGTCCCAAGAATATACGTGCATGTGTGTGATGATATTTCTCCCGTATTTTTGACCTAGAGAAAATGTCACAGGACCTGAATTGGATTTTCTTTCGATTTGTATTTTTGATAAAAATCTATAAGAACAGAAACCATGATTTAAGATCTCTGTTCAAACTACACAATACAGTTGTGACACTATACCACTTTCCAAATTAACCAAAAACTCAGCGATTCGGACTTATAAGGATCCTATAACATCAAGTACACTGCAATTCCTAAATTTAAGCACACACTAGACTCGGGATAAAAGTCTGGGATAAAGTCCTGTGTACAGTGGCAAAGCAGTGCAGCGCGCTCAGCCTCATTCCCCCACTTGGTTGCAAAAGAACAGACTGGAGTGGGCCCCACTCCCACTGCATTGCAGTTAGAACTTTGGTTCCAGCAAATTGACCCTTCCCCCTTCATTGTGACATCTCTGATCAAGAAAATGGAAACTACTTTTCCTGGCCCAAGTTTACACTGGTTGAACAGAAGACGTTAAAACAATAAGAGGAAGGCAGAAGGGAAGGAAGAATTCTCCTCTGCCAAGTGTTTAAGAGACGCTTAGTCTTCCTAAACCCTCTATGGGAGGACATGGCAGCACTGTGTCCCTAGAGTAAAAATCGAGGGAGTATTCATTCTTTTGAGGGAGTCCTTGGAAAATAAACGTGTTGAGCACCTTGTCTCCCTGGAAGGTCTACCAGCTCTGGACGACAGGGCCGGGCAGAACTGGATACCAGGGACCCACAGAACCACTAGTCCTGCGCGAGTGTGGCACCTGTCTGAGCCCGGGAAAGCTGGGCTGCAGGAATCGCGGTCTCCGGGGAGCCCCAGATCCCCCACGAGAGTGTGTGTAAAACCAAAGCGCTCATTGAGGCGACTTTAGACCCAGAGCAAGCGATAAATGAAAGGTATCTCTCAAAATGGATCTGTAACGCTAGGAGCCTGGGTCCAGGTAGACCAGAGACATTCTGCTTGTTCCCTGCCCTGTAATCCCTCTTCACCAGGACCGAGAACTCAGCAGACATGGAACAAGTCTCCTCGCTTACCTTGGCTGAGCATTAACAGCCGCAGCAGTAGCGCGCCCTCCCTGCATCCTGGTCGCATGCTGAATGACCCTGGATACTGTCGCTTAATTAAGTTTGCAGAGGTTAGCCTTGGTCAAAGGATACAAGAACCCGGAGATTCTTCAGAAGCTTTGCCCAGGCAGGGCTTGTCTTCCCAGCCCGGATGCGAGCAGGGAAAAGTTGCTAGGCAGCTCCTGGGGCTCCAAGGCCCGCCTTGTCCCGCCCTCCAGCCGGATCTACCCAGCCCCGCCTCGCTGAACCCCCACCTTCCCCACCCTTGGCTGCACCTCATCCTTCCACACCCGGCAGCCTCACCTTAACGTCCTAACATGTTACTCTGGGAGCCAGGAAGTAGGTGGGGATACGGACCCGTACATAGGGCAGCGGTCACATCTGACAGGCGGGATCCACTATTCTGCAGCTCACAGCCTGATGCCTTCCCGAAGGAGACTCTCTGAGTCCGGAGACAGCCTGGACCCTTCAGCACTCCATTGCTGTTAGGGGTTCCTGGCTGGCATAGGAGGGGTGGGAGAGAAGCCAGGGCCCAAGTCAGTTCTTAGGGGTTGCTTCCATGCATCACATAGTTTCTCTGCACTTCCACAGTGGGTGGAGAAATGGACAAAAATAAGCACAGAATGACCAGGTTAGAAACTAGCTCATCAGGAAAAGATCTATGCACAAGTTATGATTATCCAAGGTGGTATTTAAGGTAGGCCAAATGCAAGCACGTATTGCGTTTTGGTGTACTTGTGTCTTGTAAGTAAGTCCTTTACTCCAAGATAAATAAGCTGATTCGATTATTGAGTTTAAGGGATTTATATATATGAACTAAATATATGAACTCATGGATTTACCTCTTTGTGTATAGTACAGTAGTTTCTACCATTGTGTCAGTCTCACATCTTGAAAGAGAATTTTCCATAACCACATCTGAGATTTTTTACTTACAAACCCAAATCAGAATATTCTTCTAAAAGTTCGCCAGCACATTTCCAGCAAATCGAGGCAGTTCTTCCAGAGACCACTTTTGTGAAGTATTCAAATGTTTTAATAAATTAAAAGAGTTGTTAGTCTAATCTTTACTGCTACCGGTGAAAACCAATGCAAGTTTTGTCAGCAATGCTAATATCTCGTAATATGAGAATAGGATGCTTGGGATATTTCCACAAGGAAATGGTTCAGAAGGAAAGAACTTAAAAATAAGTTAATTGGTAAAAATAGAGCACTTCCCTTACCCATAGTTAGGGCTGGAGTCTTATATCTTTAAAACATTAACATTTAAATATATTAAATTTATCAGACTACTGCTTATATTCATGAATATAAGCATGACATCTTTGAACCCCAAAATTTCTAGCTCCAGGTTCTTTCCTGTCTTCTTATCTGTCACTTATTAACTAACTCTTACTAATACTGACAAATACTTGGAGGTGTTTCTTTCTGAGTTGTGTATGGTACTCACTGGCTTACTAAGACTCCAGGTGTCACTTGTGATGTACTACCTGACTCTCCTCACAGACTTCTTGCAGGGAGTTAGCCAGGTTTCAGGGAGATGAGTATCTGTCTGTTTCCTTTTGATTCACTGAAATGTGAGTAATGTTTGGAAAGCACTCTGGCTTGAGAGGCAGGCTACTTCCTTAATGTGAGGGAGGAATTTATGCTTTCTCTCTGGGCAATGGAAAGGAAAATTCACCCGTCTTTGCTTTTGTGATCAAGACTGGGTAAACTAATACCACACTGGCATGAGGTGCTGACTAAATCTGGAGCTATATTTTCCAAAGCATGCAAACATTCCAAGAAACAAAGCACAAACTTCTGTCTCAAGAGTCTAAGAGTACAAAGGGTTCCTGAGACCAAAGAGATTGAGAATCCCTGCTGTAGTCTTCTTAAGAACTATCCTGTGTATAATTGTGCTAGACACTGCATTCTGAACAGGGAAAAAGGAAGACAAAGGCAGTGTTCTCAAACTCTTCATTCTCAGGAACGCTTTATACTTTAAAAATTAATGAAGAGTCCAAACAACTTTTATGTTTCTATCATTGTTTACCATAGAAAACAGAGATATTTTTCAAATATTTATTTATATAATTTATTTTTAGGTAACAATAACAAACTTATTATAAATTAACACACTTATTTTATGGAAACTATATTTCCTAAATAAAGGAATTCACCGAAACAGTGGCATTGTTTTACGTATTTGCAACCAACTAAGTTTTTCAAGTTCCCAATTGAGCCCCATTTTAGCTTTACAAGTTGTACAATTGGGCCTCAACTTACTTATGCCAAACTCATCTATTCACCAACTTCTCTCATTCTTCCCTATTCACACCGTAGCTTTTTTTTTTTTCCTAGTTAGAACAGTGTCCTCCATTTTTTTTCATTTCTTAAAAATCTACTTCAAGATTCTAATCTAATTTATATCATCATCCCAACAGTTTTTATACCCCCCACATTCAGAATCAAAATGATTCCTCTTCCCTGTCTCCCCAATTTGTAAATAGTATTTTGTTGTACATATTATGGTGTGACTTGACCTTAATTATCTATGCATACTATACTTTACCTTCTCTAAAGTGCCTTGGTGGCATTGGGGCTAAACACTCTGCTGCTCACCTAAAGGTCAGCAGTTTGAGTGCACAAGCTGCTCTGCAGAAGAAAGATGTGGCGGTCCCTATACGATAGTTCTATGCTGTTCTATAAGGTTGGTGTAAGTAAGAATCTAGAACAGTGGGTTTGTTTTTGTTTGTTATGTTTCTATAGCTTACCTTCCCATTTAAATCCCAGACCTTGAAATCCTATCTGTGCCTTATTAATGTTTATGTTACAATAGTTAGTTCTATGCCTGCAAATAATAACTGCTTAATAAATAATTAAGGAGCTCTGGTAGCATAGTGGTTACAAATCAGGCTGCGAACCTTAAGGTCAGCAGTTCGAAACTACCAGCTGTTCCCTGGGAGAAAGATGAGGCTTTCTGCTTCCGTAAAGATTTACATCTTCAGAAACACTGTACAGGGTCGCTATGAGTCAGTTCCAACTCCACGGCACATAACCACCACCACCACCAATACATAATTACTAAATGGAACTGAATTTATGGAACTGAATTTTCTAACATTTCCACATTCTTCTCTCTAGATCTGAAAGGGCAGTGAATGTAAAATTCTATATAAATCCTGGAAAAACTTAAATGCTATCCAATGAATCAATGACAAGGCTGAGTGTGGCTCAGAGCCCACTGATTCACCATATGATTCACCTAAAGGTCTCAAGGCATTAGACGGAATACAAAAATAGAGACATTTTCAACTGAAAAACAATAAAACAAATATATAAATATCAAATACTTCTATATTCTGAGCTTCTTACATAATTGTTTCTCACCAATACACCTGCAGCATTTCATTTATATAATTTGAGCACTCCTAATATTGACTGGGAGTCCTGCTGGGACACTGTGGGTTAATGTTCTGGACTGAAAGTCAGTTTGAACTGCAAGATCTGCAGTTCAAGCTCACCAGCCACTCCTCGTAAACCCTATACAGGGCCGCTATGGGTCAGAACCGACTTGATGGCACTTAATAACAACAAAGTGCTAACTGAGGACTCCTCGTGTGGTGCTGTAGGATCAGCACTGGACTACTAACCACAAGGTTGGTGGTTTAAACCCACCAGCGGCACTTGGGAAACGCTATACAAGGTGACTATGAGTTGGAATCGACTCAACAGTATTTCCCAACAACAGCAGTACTGACTGGGGAATCCTGGTGTGGTGCTGTAGGATAATGCATTGGGCCACAAGGCTGGTTTGAACCACAAGGTCGGCAGTTCAATCTCATCAGGCGCTCCCCAGAAACTCTATTACAGAGTCACTATGGGTCGGAACTGACTCAATGGCACTTAACAGCAACCAAGTGTTACTGTCTTTATTTGTTTTCATGTGTAGGGGCAGATATCAAATACAGTCTGCCTATGCTGCTTGTAAGTTTTTTTGAGAGTCCACCATGATTCTCTTCTAGAAGTCATTAAGTCACATAATCCTGCTGGTGTGGCACTATAGGAAAAGCACTGGACTGCAAACCCTATACAGGGTCGCTATGAGCCGAAACCAACTGGATAGCACTTAACAACAACAACAGTCATATGGATAGATGATCTGATTAAAGTTGAACCAGCCAAAACTCTTTCCCAAGGATTTTTATTCAAGGTACAGATTATAGAATGTCTTCGTTGACTATAACTGTTAGGACCTGCCCAGTTTACTCACTCTTATAGTGACCATTTCACAATAGAACAAAATACTGCCTGGTTCTGCACCATATTCACAATTGCTATGTTTAAACCCATTGTTACTGCTACTGTGTTAATCCATTTCACTGAAAGTCTTCTTCTTTTTCCATGATCTTCTATTTTAACAAGCATGATGTCTGGTTTCAGGGACCAGTCCCTCCTGATAGCATGTCTAAAGTACATGAGATAAGTCTCATTACCTTCACTTATTGGGACCATTCTGGCAGCACTTCTTTCAAGACAGATTTGTTTGTTCTTATGGCAGTCCATGATACTTTCAATAGTCTTCCCCAACACCATAATTCCTATGCATCAGTTCTTCTCTGATCTTCCTGATTCATTGTCCAGCTCTTACATACATAGGAAACGGTTGAAAATACTAAGACTCAGATCAGGTACACCTTAGTTCTTACAGTGACATCTTTGACCTTAAACACTTTAAAGAGGTCTTTTGCAGAAGATTTGCCCAATGCAATGTGTCCTTTGATTTACCAACTGTTGCTTCCTTAAGCATTGATTACAGGTCCAATAAAATGAAATTCCTTGACAATTTCAACATTTTCACCATTTATCATGAGGTTATTGATTGGTCCACTTGTGAAGATTTTGTTTTATTTACAATGTGTTGTAATCCATAATGAAGACTGTTGTCACTGATCTTTATCATTAAGTATTTCAAGTGCTTTCAGGAAGCCAGGTTGTTTCATCTGCATAATCAAAGGTTATTATAAGCCTTCCTCCAGTCCTGAT